CTCTCTGACCACAGAAAAAATAGAGACCAGCAGATGGTGTAATGGTTACATCGCTGGATTCCCACATAGTTGACCCAGCGGCTTAAATCTCACGCCAGGTACGTGTGTGTGCCCCAAATCCCAAGAGAATAATGAAGGAGAAGGGACTGTGGTATGGCCATCCCCCCCAGAGGGTAATTTTGAAGGTTCTGTCTCTCTGGCAAGCACATGTGCCCTATAGAAAAAAATCTCTCTTAAAAAAAAAGAAAAGAAAAGAAAAAAAAAAAAAAAAAAACCTGAAAAAAAAAATACATAAATAACTTTTGCCAGGAGTGTGTTTTCTAGCCAGAAAAAGAGAGAAGGCACATTCCTCAATGAAGCACACTCACACCACAATCATTTCTCTATCATTTCTCCTCTCAAGATGATGAGGTACATATGCACACATGGCCTGTCATGTTTTTCAAGCTGCCAGGGCCAGGACTCGAACAGCAGTTGGTCATGGGGAATCTGGATTCCAATGTACTGTGTTTAATCACTACACAATAGGCAAACACAATAAAGACTTAACCCAGATGATGTTCTTAAATACTACAAATGCTGAGTCGGGTTGGCGGTATAGTGGTAAGGCTATACACAGGAAAGGCTCTGGGTTCTCATCTGGGACCTCCCTCAGCATGCCAGGCCAGATGTGCCCGTGAGCAGACCAGCTAAGAGCCGGGGTAGATTATGGTATGAGGATGATAATGTTGGGTAGTGTGTTTCTTTCTCTCTCTCATGAAAGAAATACTTTTTGTTTTTGTGGGGAGAGGTTTTTGCTATAGGGCACCAGGAAGACAGAGAGAGACAGAAAGCAAGAAATCACTCCCTGCGGGGGTGGCCATGCTGCGCAATCCCTTCTCCTCCATTCTCTTCTCGGGATCTTGGGCATGCACGCACATGTGCCTGGCATGAGTTTAAGCCACCGAGTCCGGGACTCAGACCACGGTTGACTAAATGGGAGTCCAGCGACAAAGCCATTACACCAACTGCTGGTCCCATAAAAAAATATTTTTATTACTATGCCAGCCTGGTGGCACAGTCAGTAGCAAATTAAACTGCAATGCTGGAAGCCATATGGTTGACTACAGTTCTGATCCCAGGGTTGGCCTGAAAACACTCCAGGCATGTACACATGTGCCCAAAATTCTGGTAAGCAGGAATACTGGAGAAAGATCACAACCTGGGGCCAGCAGGTGGTGTGGTGGTTAAGGCGCTGGAAAACTCCCACATGGCCGACCATGGTTCGCGTCCTGGACCTGGTGGCTTGCTCTCTCACTTTCTCTTCTCTCTCTGTGTTCTCTCTGATCAAATTGAAATAAATGAGTGAATAAATAAAAGTAAATAAATAATTCTTTAAAAAAAAAAAAGGAAGAAAGATGACAACCTA